TTTATATCATTTCCAACCCATCCTCCTCTAACATCTTCTGTGTCCTTTTCCACTGCTCTTAAAATGATTGACCTTTTATACTTTAATTATTGCAAACACACACACACACAGAGCAAGGTTGAGAGAGGGAGGGGGAGTGAAACTTACTGGGTCTATTTATTGTGGCGCATGTGTCTGTGTGTGTTTAGTACTGACCATTGGCGAGTAGAGGACTTGTTGGGACTGGTTCCTGGAGAAGACTGTCTCTTTATCAGCAGGATGGGCTGCCACTTCCCTGAACATTCAGGTTCTTACACTGGTATCCGACTCCCAAGGTTTCATTGATAAAGGATAATTAGATAAATGCTTCAGTGGGATTTCCCCTGTCTGTGTTGGTGTGTCAGTAACTGGTGTAGTTATTTCTGCCCCATCTTCTGTGGTGTTCCCTGAGCACTGGGGTACTATCAGTTGGGGTTAGAAAACCACCAATACCTGTTTTCTGCATCTTGGCTAATTGTTGGCTTCTGTGATGGTCTCGGTGTGCTTCATACAGAGGCTTCTTTGTTAAGAGATGAGATCTACACTTACCTGTAAGTATGAACCTAAGTATTTAGAATGCAATTAGAAAGTATATCAGTTTAGACAAGTGGTAATAATAGGTTCTTCTCTAGGGACCATGACCTCACTGGCCATGGATTGCTGACTGGGTTTGTAATACCAGACATGAATTTCTTTCTTCCTATTGAATAGGCCTTTAGTCTAATTACAGAGCTCTTGGTTATTCCTAAGAGATAAGCGCCACTATTTTACCATTGGAGCTATCTTGCCTTGCTGGTTATTATTGTGGTTCCCAGGTTTTACAGCTGGGTAGGACTACTGCTTGCTTTTTTTCCGTGACTACTTATACTTCATATACTGTGAGAGCTAGTCTTCAAAGAAGAGGCTTCTAGGTTTGCTCTAATGTGATTGCTCTAAGTCCTATATCCAACCAAAGTGTATAGTATCTTCAGAATTACATTTTACCTTCAAGTTCTAGGAGGCAATCACGAGCATCATCAATGATGCCCATATATTGGTTTGGGCATTTCTTGGGCTCCCTTGACCAAGAACTGAAAGAGAGAGTATTTTACCTGCCTGGCTCTGTCTAGCCCTGTTTTCATGCCATGTATAGATAGTTCTGTGCAAATTCAAGACAAGTTCATAGAAGGCCAAGGTGCTATGGAATAATCCTCTTGTACACTGTAAAGATTTGTCACTAAAATTGGTTTAATGAAATGCTGATTGGCCAGTAGCCAGGCAGGGAGTATAGGCAGGACGACTGTACTAAGGATAATGGGAAGGAGAAGGGCAAATGCAAAGAAGCAAGATGAGAATGCTGTGCTAAGAAAAGGTACCAAGCCACATGGCTAAACATAGATAAGAATTATGGGTTAATTTAAGTCTAAGAGTTACCTAGTAATAAGCCTGAGCTATTGGCTAAGCATATATTATTAAAATAAGTTTCTATGTGGTAATTTGGGAAATGGGTGCCAGGTATCTGGGGACTGGTAGTCAGGATGAGAAATATCCATCTACACCAAGGTGTCAGAGTTGTGTAAGGAGTTCTTGGCATAGAGGTGAATTCTACATTATCACCTCCCCTTCCCTCTGTTACCTTATAACCCACACACTCTTTTCATTATGGGGCTTGGTGTCTTTGCTTCATTCTTGTGGATTCTCAGGAGCTGCCATGTTGAAAGGTTGTCAGGTGCTATCCATGGAAGAGTATATCTTGGATTCCTATCCCCACAGATCCAAGATCTAAGTGGCAGAAAATGCTTTGAGTACACACATTCGTTCACACATTCGACCAGACTGCAACGACCTCATTCTACATTTTTTTGCTAGAAAGCCCCCCAAAAAGCAGCTTACAGTTCATATTCAACCCCCATGGTGTGTTCGCACCCCCCAAACACATTGCCCATGCTTTTTACACCATTGCTTACATCTCAGATATTGGGGATACTGTAGCGCTGTACCCTGTAGTATTCTGTAAAATGAAAGCATCATTTTCTAAATCCATCATTTTTTTTGTTTTCCTGTAAAGATCCCATGATTTTACCCTGCTGCTTGCAGGGGTGGCATATTTTACTCTGGAAGGTAATTCAGCTCACACATTCTCCAAGCAAATTTCTCTCAGCCCAGATCTGTGCTTGCAGCCATTCCTCCTCACCGCCCCATAAGTCACATTGGCTTTGATATCAGGGAGATTAGAATGTACAGATCCCTTTCAGAGACTGCATCTGGCCTGCGTTGCTATGGAGGAACACTTGGAGTACAGAGAAAACTTTGGCAGAACCAGACCGGAGATAGCCTGAAGGTTCTTTCCTTGAGGTCTGATGATACAATTGAGTCTTGATTTAGTGGTTAACTTAAATACGGAGCTGTCATAGCTTTTTTTCTTTCATCCTATTGACAAGTTTGGATTGGGGTGAGCAAAGAGGCACACAAACAGTGCTGAACAAGCAACATAACAGTGATGTCACAACAAAGCTGTGGCATACCCACGGCTGAGTGTACTCAGAAACCAGGGAATACAGGGCAAGATGGGAAAGATGGGAGGTGTGAGTCAGCTTTGACCTGGCCCCACTAAGTACTCCTAAGTTTGAACAACTAGGTGGTTTCCTTCCTTCACGTCCCAACTCCTCTGGTAATCATGTCATCAGGCTTAGGGGCTGGGATCTTGTCTGTCGTGCCAGCATGCCCTCAAGGGTAGTTCTTGGAACCGTAGCTCCCATGGTCACAAAAATGGTCACCATGATTAACTCAGAGCAGCATCTCAGGGTGAAGTGTAAGACAGAAGTGCACTGAAACCAAAGCAGGGGAGAAAAATGAAGGGGAACATAGAACCAAGCACATCCATATGGAGCAGGTGGTTACAAACATGGTTTGGCTGGTATCCAGGCTCTCCCAGCAGACCACTTGAATGAGGCCAGAACTTCCTCGGTGTTCTAAGTCCTATAAATCTCATTAATTGTGGACCCCAGCAGAACAGGTGATGATGGCCCAGTGATGCTGCTGCATGCTGAGTTAAATGTCGCATCCTTGTTTGCTGAGGTTCATGGTTGTGAATAGCCCTTATTCTCTGACTTCAAATTATTCCAGTTCTATAATAGACTATAGAACACTATCTGTCTTCCAAAGGAAGCCTAGACCTTTGAGACCTATCCTTGGATTTTCATTGCCAGAATACTTAACTGTAGATCCACAACACTCATCTGTGTATTCCAAATCTAATAGCTCTGACAACTTGGTTCCTCGGGATTAAATATTGTTTTATAACATCACACCAAACATGTGGTCAGAAATCAAATGGAGATTGCTATACAACTGAAGCATTTATATGTATCTTAGCATAAATAATTTGGATATATTTCAGGAAACAAATGAGAATGTGTCTGATTATGGGGGGCACTCTGGGTTTAGATGGAGGTAAAGCACACGCATGAGTCCTGGAAAGTCTGGATCTTGTTGATGGGTCCTTTGCTGCCAGCCCTGAGACCTAATGGAGCAAGGATGGTTGCCTGCCAGTAGTAGGAGACTCGACCTGTGATAGCTCTTCAGGCTTGGCCCTGGGAGTGGCTGGAGTTACCTGGTTATTGGAGCAAAGACTCTAAGTGTTCCAGAGGTAGAGATGATTCTGGAGGGCCTGATGCTGAGTTACTTTACTTGTGGATGCTCCTGAGTCCTCATCCCTGCGTCTGTGTTCCGCTGCTGAGGCCCAGTTTGAGGTATCAGCTCGTACTGTCAAAAGCACTGTCCATGCTAAGAGAGATGACTGTAAAGGGAGACTTTATAGAGTTGGGCAGAAGCCCGATGCGAGGGAAACTTCCACACGTCCACAAGGATGGCTGCAGCTAAGATTCCTGGCAGCCTGAACTGACCGTCCCTTGTGAGTGGATTGATGGCTATTCAAGTTGTTATCAGAAAACCTTCATCCAGTGCCTGAGGCAGATTCAAGACCCACAGTCAAACACTGGGCTGCACTCTGGCAGTCCTGCTGAGGAGAGGGAAGAGGGATTGTGGGAAATGGAAGAGGAGTCAGGAACATTGCAGGAAAACCCACAGAACAAGTAGCCTGGCTCATGGGAGCTCACTGAGTCTGAACCAACACCAGGGAGCCTGCATGGGACCGAGCTAGGCCCTCTGCATATATATGACAGTTGTGTAGCTTGCTTTATATGTGAGACTCCTGGCAATGGGAGCAGGAGGTATCCCTGGTGCTCTGACTAGCTCTTGGAAACCTATTCCTCATGCTGGATTGCCTATCCCAGCTTGAATACAGGGGGAGGTGCTTAGTCTTACGACAGATTGATATGCCAAGCTTTGCTGAGGCAGATGGGAGGCTGGCCCCTTTCTGAGTGGTTACAGAGAAGGGGTAGATTGGAGCAGGGAGAAATAGGGAAGGTGTGGGAGGAGAGAAAGGGAGGGGAGGCTGTGGTTGGGATGTAAAATAAATATAAATTAATAAAATAAAGCATTGTCCATAAGACAAAAATCACTCATATTTAAGTGTGCCCTCAGAAGTCCTAAGAGGTTCTGCTTTATGGAAACAAATGGCTGACATCTCTATAGTTTGGTTTTATTTCCAGTTTCAATAAGTGAATTTATTTTGTTTTTCAAAATGCCATTTTAGGGAAAACTTTGAAAGCAGAACCATTATTAATTTGGTTAGAAGTAACCTGTCTATCGAGGAAGGCAAAACCTAAGCCAAGGGGTATGCAGTGAGTTGGAATTAGCTTTAATGCCTCCATCTGAATGTGATCACGGTGACAGCAGGTTCCCAAATGTGATTTTTATGCCATTCTAGATAATTTTAGAAGGGATTATTTAATTCTCAGTTTCCTTACACTTTATAGATGCCAGCTCACTTATAGAATAATGTCTGAACTCTTTTGGGCTTTGAGCTTCCCTAGCAACTTCTTATGAGAAATAGAAGTAAGCCAGGGGACAACATACTGCTAATGCTCCATCTTTGTCAGTCTTGGACAGATCACTATTTGCAGTGGAACATGTCCGAGTACCCTGGAGTGAAGAATGTTCGCTTCCCAGATGGCCAGATTTGGAAACCAGACATTCTCCTCTATAACAGGTAAGCACATCTTACAGGTGGAAAATGATCTCCCCATACAAACATGGAGCCATAAAGCATATCTGAGTATTTTACAGAAAAGCTGGCTGTCTTATCGTTAATTTGGAGCCTTTGTTCATTGTGAGGCTTTCCAAGTTCTCTGGGAGGCTGCTCTGTCTCTCCACTGCATTTGCTGCATTTGCATGTAAATTCAGGTTGTCCTACCTGCTGCCAGAGGTGCCTCATCCAAAGGACTGTACTACGGCTGCATAAGATTGTCCTCCATTTACAGGAATGTAAAACTGTCTTAAAACAGTACCTTTGCTATCTGAATGGGAGCCATTACAATCCACAGCAGAAGGTGCCAGACAGCATGTGCACTGGAGACAACTGTTTAGACCTAGGTTCTCATCTGACTTGTTCCCCATTGTGTGATAGATGTGTGTTGCATTTTGACTGAGTTCCTGCAGAGTGTGCTTCTCACAGAAACATGTGCATAGGCTGAGGAAGATCTCTAAGGGTTGGGTAATATGGATGGCAGTCATGTTTTTATCTCGAGGGCGAAAAAATAAAGGATTCATTTGTAATTTAAGGCAATGTGGTTTGCAAACCAGATGACCAAAAAGCAAGTTTCTAGGCAGGTCTAAGTTCTAGAAGCAGTAAAGTTCCTTGTCCGAGCTGTGTGGCTCAATAGGGAACTTTGAACAGCTCTATTCTAAACAGAATGGCAGTGTGATATCGTGCAATATATACTAAAGAGGGATACTAAAGATCCTTGCTCCTTTGCTTCTGCCATGGTAAAGAGAGGAATCCAGGCATCCCTAACTCAAGACACTGACCATCCGCCACTGCCCAGTGGTCCCTCAGAGAATTGCCTGGGCAGCTGGTGTGTTGTTCCGCTTGTATGTGCTACTTCCAGGAGCCTGGACAGTTCAGTTTCTTGTATTCCTAAAGTTCATTGCTTCCTGCCCTTCCCTTGGATGACTGTAATGTGCTGCCGGAAGAAAACCACCTCCTCATTTGCTGCCACTGTCTGCTTCTCAAAGGAAGTTCAGATAACTGAGTTTGTGGGATGTCCAATGTCAGAATGAGTGGTCCCTCTCTGAGTGGGTGAAGCAGCTGAGGTTTGGGTCATCCATTTCCTGGAGACTACACTCAGACTCCAGGCCTGTTGTGGAGCACCACCATCTTTTAAGGCCTTGCTTAATCAGCAGACATTTGTGTGCTTACCTTCTAGAGAACAGGTGACCGACCTAGAGGTGTAACCAGGCTCCTTCTGGATCTTCCTATTAGGACTGTGTGTGTATGGGGGTGGGGGTAGGGCTCTTGCTATATAGTGAAAGCTAGCCTAGAACCTGTGACTTCCTGCTTTCACTTTTTAAATGCTGGGCTTACAAGCATGCAACACCACATCTAACCCTTTAGTTGACTCTTTTCTGGGCCTGTCTCTAAATAAGTCACATTCCCAGGTGCTAGGGTTTAGAATTTCAAAGTAAAAATGTATAGAAAAACAATTTAGGGTTTGTAAAAGCAAAAATTCTATAATGCATGCAGCATGCCTAGTGGGCCCTCTGCAAAAGGAGGATATCAGTGCCAACATTCAATGGCAGATGTGTGTTTATAGGTGGGAGGAGGAGGATGTTATCTGTCAATCAAAACTGTTTCATGGTTCCTGATAAGTTCTTTCTGAAAGTAGGAGAATTTTTTTCAATGTAGTAGAATTTCAATAATGAGGCAATGAGAGATGGTTTTATGGCTGTGCGTAAGACTGTGAACTCTAAAACATGAGGTGTTTGGTGACCCCAATCTTCTGGCTAATGGAGAGTTACTAATTAGGCTGCGGAATTAATTTCAAGGAGCACAGAGAGAGCGGCTTCTACCTGACATAGGGCGCCAGGCTCTAGGAATAAGTCCCCACGGAACACAAACCATCGTCTAGCGTTCTGTTTGTATAACACACTTTAGCAGCTCCCTGTTCTTTTCTCCATGTGCCTATTGGTCATAACTTCAGTGTCCCTCCTGGAACTCAGGGGCCACCTCAATTTCTTTAGTTTTTCTAAGCAGTTAATATTCTTGTTTGAATCTGAAATATCTAACACAGGCTCTTATTTTGAAAGCTTGCTCTACAGTTGGTGGTGCTGTTGTGGGAAATTCTGGAAACTTTGAGAAGTGAACCTAGCTGGAAGAAGTATGTCACTGGGAGGGACTCCTTCAGGGTATAGTGTCTTTTGTCACTTCCTGTCTACTGCCTTTGCTTACTGGTCCTCTGTAACATGAACAACTGCCATCTACCAGAAACTCCCAAAGCCATAATGTTCTGTTCAGTCTCATGGGCCTAAACAGCAACGAACTGAACCTTCTGAGACGATGAGCCAAAACAGCAACAACAACAACAAACAGCTCTCTTCTTAAGTTGTTTCTGTCAGGTCTTTTGGTCACTCCAACACAAAAATAACTCACATAGTGGGACATACAAGTTCCGTGATGAATCAGCTGCTAGCTCTCTGATTTTTTTTTCCCCCACACAAGCAGAATGTCAAAGGCAGAGATTACAAAGAATTCTGTTTAAACCAGCTGTAGACTTGTGCCATTTATTGCTACAAAACAAACTACTCAAAGTGAGCATCTTGAAAAACGCAGAATCTTCGTCTATTAGTCTTTGTGATGCTTTGACCTGACTAGTCCCATTTGCTTAAATGTCTGTCCCATGTAACATTGGCAACTGCGGCTGAGGGGCATAGCTTGGATAGCCAGCAAGGATGGCAGCCATGGCTCCGGACCATGCCTGGGCTGAAGACCATGCCACTTTGGCGCTATTCCTTGTCCTTTCTCATGGATCGAGGTGGCCTGCCTTGATGGCTGGGAGTACTCTCGGGATAAGTGGGGACCGCCATGCATCTAAGGCTGAACAGAGAAGTTCCCGATGAGTCACTCATCCCATCCCACTGCTCACAGCAAGCAGGCTCAGCCTCTTGCCCTTTTGCCACCAGATCTTCAGTCAAACTTGCAGCTTTGCCCTTTTCCTTTTCTTGGTGTGTGATAACTATTCTCCAGGTTCACCTTTGGCCTTCTCTCCCTGCATGGTCGGGAGAGGTGGACTAATTTTATCTTCCTTAGTTGTTCTCCACAAATTGTCCCTCTAACTTCACAAGTGTAGTGTGGCATGTGTGCCACTCTCGATACATACATAGATACAGACACTATAAAAAAAGAAGAAGAAGAAGAAGAAGAAGAAGAAGAAGAAGAAGAAGAAGAAGAAGAAGAAGAAGA